TTCTTTTTCCTTCCTTTATACTTCTTGATGTTTTCAAAAGTAGAATAATGAGATGCCAAGGCATTGACTTATACTTTATTCTTTTTTTTTTTTGTTGGGGTGGGGGGGGGTCATTCTGTACTTCTCCTCTGATCAATTAGACCTTTGTTGTTTAGGTCATGAAGGACCGAAATGTCGTTGCACAACTTGTACAAAGAGCTGAAAGGGCTGGTTTTAAAGCTATTGTCCTTACTGTGGATACTCCTAGGCTTGGACGTAGGGAAGCTGATATCAAGAATAGGTGAATGGAGGGGAAAATGTTTTCTTTTCTTGTGTTCAACATTTTTGGGGTTGTTGCATTCTTTTTTTCTTTGGGTTCAGTCTAGTTGCACTTATTCTTCTCTATGCAAGAATAACTATGTGAAACTCAATAGATTTGCGCTGCCACCCCATTTGACTTTGAAGAATTTTGATGGACTGGACCTCGGAAGGATAGATGGGGTACACCAAATTTAGATGGTACTCTGTTGCATATTCATCTTCTATTGGTGCTTTTTTCTGATAGTTTGTGATCTGCAGACTAATGATTCTGGACTTGCTTCATATGTTGCTGGCCAAGTAGATCAATCTCTTAGCTGGAAGGTGGTATTGTATTTTCAATCTTAAGCTTGCAATACAATAGGTGGAGATCATTTTGAAACCCTTTTCTGCTGATTTTGAGTAGGATTTGAAGTGGCTGCAGACGATCACTCAGTTACCGATTATTCTCAAGGGTGTATTGACTGCTGAGGATGGTGAGTACACACAAAAGCTCAATGGGTTCGTTCTTAAAAAATAAATAAATAAATAAAGGTGCCTATTTATCTAATGTTGGATCATTCTTTCCATAGCCAGACTAGCTGTACAAGCTGGAGCTGCAGGAATCATTGTGTCAAATCATGGGGCCCGACAGCTTGATTATGTCCCTGCAACTGTTATGGCCTTGGAAGAGGTTAATCAGATAGCTTTGATGTGAATTGCTGTTCTGTTTAAGGTCTCCGTAATACCAACAGAAGATTGATGTGAAATGATATTGATACGTGACTAGCTTTTTGGTGGTTCAGTGAGAAACTAGTTTTAGATTTTCTCCACAATCATTAATCCAGAAAACCAGTCAGCCTTTAGATTATGTATTTTCTTTTGACACTGCATAGTCTTGAATTTTCTTATGTTGGATCGTTTTGTGTAGTTAAACTTTGAAACTGAATTAACAACTTTTCCTTCCCCACCTCTCCATAGAAACCACAATTTTAAAAATTCTGCTCACGTACCATAGTTTTGTCTACTGCTATAATTTCTTTAAGGATCTACCAGATATTTATAGCCACTTCTGGAAGTTTCTCTTTGCCTCACTATTTGACCAGGCCTTTTGTTGAAGCACCTAAGGAAGTCCCTTGTTGAAATCTGCTACCTTTATCAAAAACTATAGCTTAACACTTCTTATTTCTTGTCACATTTCAATTTGAATACTGCAGGTTGTCAAAGCTGCTCAAGGCAGAGTTCCTGTTTTTTTGGACGGTGGAATTCGGCGTGGGACAGATGTATTCAAAGCATTGGCTCTTGGAGCTGCTGGTGTCTTTGTAAGTAAATTACCAATTTGAAGAATGAACAAAAAAGAATGGAAAATAAATGGACAGAAGAACTTAGTTATATACGTTGGTAAATGTGATATCATTTGGTTACTCCTGGAAAACTGGAAAAAGCCTATGGAGCATATTAGTAGCCAATTTTGGTGTCTCTTTAATCTGGGTTATGACGAATGTTTATAAAGGTCAACTTGCTAGCTATTGCTTCTTTGACAGCTCCACTAGCTTTACACCTTTCAAATTGACCATTTTGATATTTCCAATAAATATAGATTGGAAGGCCCATTGTCTTCTCATTGGCAGCTGATGGTGAGTCAGGAGTTAGGAAAGTACTTCAGATGCTTCATGATGAGCTAGAGCTGACCATGGCCTTGAGTGGTTGCCGCACTATTAAGGAGATTACTCGTGATCATATTGTTACTCCTTGGGATCCCCTCCATCTTGAACCCCGATTATAGTTTGGTCAGTCTGAATAGCAAAGCACTCTTTTTAAGCTAGATGAATCCGAACGGTGTTATGATACGTCCAGCAGCATTGGTAATAATCAATGCTTTCAAAAAAGAATATATTTTCACTACTGTCTTTTGCTCATAAAGTCTGTACGTGTGCCTGATTGTAAACTTTTGTCACCCACATGTCAAACTTCATCTAAATGGCATAGTGCACCTGTACGGGATTGGATTCCAGCATCTGTTTCCTCTCCGTTACTGCTGAGGAATAAATTGTTTTTTTCCTTGTTTGTAGTGTAAGAAAAGATATATTTTGATTCTGCAGACTTGCTCTGTTATAGTGTTAGTTTTTTTTTTGGCTGCAATTAGATCCTTGTTATGTTGACCTAGGTAGCTGTGGTTTTCGCACCATTAAATCTATCTGTATGTGAAGGGATGATGGAATCTGTAATCTGTATTCCTTTGATCCACAAGGGTGAAATTTCAAATAGGAGTGGAGAAATTTAATTCCTTTTGACATTTAACAGATATAAAACCATACCATGAACCATTTGTATAGCAACAATAGGATGCGGATCCTCTTTATATTGAGGGTGAATAGAATGTCTTTTTTCACACCTTCAAGTTAGTGGTTCCAGTATTTATCTCTTTCAAGTGATTGTTGCATTACTATCTTAGCAAATAAAAGGTTTGGTTGCATCAATATCGCTATTTACTTGATTTAACAAAAGTTGAGGACACCCCCTTTGGTAAGAAATTGATGATGATAATCCAACCTAGGGTTTTCAAAGAGGTGTGTGCTCAAGTGTTTAGAATGGTTTTTTTTTTAATTGTTTTTGAATGAAAGTGAAACTGGAGTATGGTTTTATAAATTTTTTAAGGAAAATTTCTGTTTGTTGGGAGCTAATGGATATGAAATGGCTGTTCCTTTTATGTCCTCAAACAGCATGTTTTGGGGTTAGGATTTTGGTCTATGATTTTACTTGTATAAATGTTCAACAAATGCTATTATGAGGTCTTAGTAAGTTGCTGCTTGTAATTAGCTCTAACTATAGGCTCCTATCGCATGCGAATGCAAGCTATGTTGAATATGTTTTTGTGATTAGCTAACAACATTAGTATCGATTATTTTCTCGACTTGCAGGTTTTGACTATGGTAAATTTATGATGGCAAAAATTTCAGTTTATCAAGGAAGTTAAGCGCAACCACATTATAAGAACAAAAGTAACGAAGGAAAATTAGTACCCAAATTGAGGATATTTTTCACTTTTATAAGAACAAAAGTACCCAAATTGATTCACCTTCAATTAACCGGATATTTCTGAATGGTGTGTTTGTTTGGACTGAAAATATTTTCTGGAAATCACTTTCAACAATTTCCGGTGTTTGGTTGCTTTTGAACCAGTGAAAATACTTTCCATAGCAAAATATTTTCCCGAGGTCAGTGTAAAATAACTTTCCTAAATGAGCTACTAAAGTTGTTTACCGGACAATTGTGTCTTTGACGAAATTGAGACTCTCAACAAAAGAACGTTACCTCCAAAGAAGATGAGAGACTCAAAAACTCGCCAGGAAATTTGCTGGTGAACTTACCTATGATTCCGTTTTCGGCAACTTTTCCGGTGTAGTTTTGAATACAATTTTTCTTTCCAGACAACTTTAAAGATCTTTTTCCTTCTTCATTTGAATGCGTTTTTGTTTCTCCTTTTCTTTTGGAACTCCAATATTTTTGTGTCAAATTGCCTTGATCTTTATGTAAAAATTGGATTTGGAGTTTATGGAAGATTACATTTTCCTCACCTCCCAATCAAGGAATTCTCTTAAGTCGACTATGGATCTGCTACTCCATCTCAAGTGGTAAGAAGATGGATTTCCATGGTTAAGGGTTTGTCGGCTTGAGGTGGCTATGTAGTAGTCGGCAAAGAACAATGGTGGTGGTAATTAGTCATAACCATTTTGAGGGTAGGAACAAAGTTGCAAAATTGCAACCAAACAGCAGCAAATTATGAAAATGCAAATCTTTTCCAAGAAAATAATTTCAAGTGAAAAAATTTTCATCAAGAAAATGTTTTACATTGAAACAAACGGAGCCTTAGTCTAAACAAGATGCACACTTCAGGCAACTTTGATCACAAGTCATAATGTTAACTTATTTCCATTGATAGTATATTTCTCTATTTATTGTTATAACTTATACAAATAGTATCAGACGATACTCAAATAATTATTGCTCTCATTAAGGGAATGCACGTCACTTTCGTGCCATATGTGCATCTAAAATGATGAAATTCATACATTTCAAGGTTTTGTGAATTACTAGTATTATATAGGGAAAAATTGAATATTCAGCATGCAAATTGTTAAAATTGGACGATGAGTGGGGCTACGTGAGAATCATGTATTTTTCGATGGTATAATTTGGCGATTAACCAATTTATTTTATAAAAACAAATATATCATAGAGGATTTAGAGAGAGAGAGAGAGAGAGAGAGAGAGAGAGAGAGAGAGAGAGAGAGAGAGAGAGAGAGAGAGAGAGAGAGAGAGAGAGAGAGAGACAAAGAAGAAGAAAGAAAGAAAAATGTAAGAACTATGCTGTGTAATGTCAACTTAAGCAAGCTATTAAACTCGCAAAGACCTAACTTTTGGTTTGATAAAGAACTGCTGCATCATTGGCCTAAAGAAGTATATATGGTTGACCTAGAAAATATAAAGATCTTTTATCTACACCAAAATTTGAGATTGCTGAGAATTTCCTTTGCTCAATAATGTCCCTAATATATTCTTGAACGTTTGCATTGTTCTACTTCAAAGGCCCTGATCTGTTTTTATCAAATACCTTTTATTTGAATAAGCAGAGGGGTGAGATTTTATGCGGGGAAGGGGGAGGGAAAATATGAATCAAAGACCGTTAATTCCACTTCTGATCATTTACTTGAAAGCTATGATACCATAACATCACTCTTGTGCCATTCAAAGTTTCACAGAATATTCCAATACTAATCGTTTCATTAAAAAGAAAAGAAAAGAAAAGAAAACGTAACATTCAAATGCTCAAAATCTATACAATGCTGAAGGAAAAGAATAAAAATTTGATACAAACGAACAAAGTAATAAATGTCTAAAAAGACATAAATCAATGCAGCTTAGGGGGAACCGATGGAAGGACATCGATTCAAATGTTGGACAATAAATTGGGCATATGTATATTCAGACTAATTTATAGATTCAATGGCAATTCGTCAAATAAAACTAAATTCAATAATCAGTTTTGTCCTTCCTAATGTATATTTTCCATGCCTTTCTCAGTATTGATGTCGAATTTATCTAGAGATGATGATAAGGAAATGCAGCTTGGATTCTGTTTTTTCTCTTCTGCAAGAACCTCTGCAAAGATCTCTTCATGGAGAGACCAGCTGCGGGACCATATATTGGTGATTGCAGGACAGGGGAAGATGGTTCAGAAGAAGAAGATGGGGTTCTTGACTTCTCCTCCATTTCTCGACTTGCAAACGATATGATGGCTCTGGCCTGCATGATAAGAAGAAATTAATATGTTAAGAATCAGACTAGAATTGTAAATCCTGCTCTAAATTTATTAAAAATTAAAGGTACTTGACAACCTCTTTTATTTATACCTAGCTATAGCCAGATTAATAACTGTATTTTTTTTTTTTTGAATTTTTCTCTTGATGACAATCATCATCGTTTTCTATAGTAAATCCAAATTAAGATATGAACGGAATATTTATAAATCTCTCGGAATTTATTATCTTCCAGTCGCATGATACCATTGTACAACCTAGCTTGTGTTTATGAATAAAAAGACAAAGGCAGCTTAACTTTTGGTCTATCACTAAATCTTTTCTGGGCAACATGCTTAATTTTTTTTTGGGGTATTTTTTTCAGATGGATAACAATAGATTTCGTCAAACTTCTTAAGAAATATAACGTAGAGCAATATATTCACGATGTTTAAAATTTGGCCAATCCCATGAAGCTGGAAAACAAAGAAAAAAGAAACTACAAATTGGGTAGCATAATGAAAGTTTGAAGTAAAGTTTCAATGACCAAGAATTAGTTACTTGCTTTCTTCATGGTATGTTCAAATTTACTATTTAATCACCGAATTTAGGAGGTACAAAAGGTAATAATCTCTTAAATATCCTACGTGATTGGATCCATCTAATTTGGCTTTCAAGCCAGTACTGAACAGAACAATCCCTGATTCCGATTACTTACCATCTGATCTCATTACCAAAACTTCTTTTGAAAACTATATTCACAACACATTATAGAAAAGATTCCAGCTGCTTACACATAAAAACAATTCAGAAGAAAACATACCTGAAGCTCTGTAACATCACAAACAGCAACCTGCCCGTTGTAAAAGATAGTCATCTGCTGCTCCTCCTCCTCCTCTTTCCCACACCAATCCGGCAAGCCAAAACCACCGGCAGCTGCCGGTAGAAGCCGGAGTTCCAAATTGTAGTTTCCCCTCATTGATATAACCAAAAATGTAAAATGATCAATGATCCAAGAGAAAGTTAGCAAAGATTGAGTCAATACGTAGTTGAATATTTGGAAGGCGCAAGAAGTTGATAAAACTTCATACATATAAATATATATATATATATATATATATATGTACGTATATAGCAATATAGAAAAGAATGAGTTCTCAATCCATCCGCACGGGACAGAGTATGGAAAGGGGTAGAAGTTGAAGCACGTGGCTGAAAAAACAAACGTTTTGAAAAGTACGTCCAACACGAAACGCATGCTGGCCAAAAGGCGAAGCGACGCAGACAAGAAAATCGGCGGAACGTGAAAAATTGGTAATATGCACGTGGAACATGATGTTTTATACCCACCTCCGCTACGGCGTTGTTCTTAGAGATGTTTCCTGCACGTGCTTTAGTCGGCCGCAAGTCTTCTTCTTGTTTTCTATTGCTAATTATATGTAACGTGGCTTGATGGGTTAGCATACGTTTATTTGTATATATTCCTTTCACATTTTGTTAGGTAGGATTTGGAGAAACTCCAATTTTTATTTATTATTCTTTTCTTCCCATTAAAAGTGTTATACTTTTCATTTTGAAATATTCCAAAACATTTATCATGTTCGAAAAGTTAAAACACCTTTTAATTGTCCTTTTCAATATAATTTTTTTTTCTAATTATCTCCATATTACCATTCAAATTTAAAATTTGAATTTGTAGGGGTAAAATTGAAAAAATGAGTACAAATATTACAATCGAACCACTATTTTTAAAAAGTTAGATTCCCGAAATATGACTAAATAATTGGGACGAAAGGTGTATCAGTTTTATTGGGATGGTTACTTTTAGACTTGTAAGTGTTTCTGTTGGGAAGAACTGCACTGGTATCCTTAAAATTTATATCAATTCTCACGTTGCACTCTAGATTTTACTTTTTGCAAATTTATGCTCCCACTTTGGGTAATAGGTAATCATGTTAATCAGTTGGTGGTGTTGCACTGAACTCCAACTTAGATGCATCATGTTTTCTATGGATTTGGATTTAGATGTTCAAATCAAGATCCTATCTCAATGCAAACTCTAAAACTGTTTATAAATTTAGGTAAGGTCTAGCTCTGCATAATAATTATTTATAATAGAAAATCAACTAAATTATAATTATTGGGATAGTACCTTTTAGACTTTAATTGTTTTTGTTTGTGTAGACACCGAATTTTGATTCATACCCAAACAAGGGAGGCGAAGAAGTCAAACGTAGGAGGACCGTTGTCCTTGGTCCACTTTCTCAGGTTTGCAAAAGTGGATTTCTCCTGCTTTTGTCTCATGGCCTTGCATTAAAGGCAATGTTTTTAAACTCGGACCGGTCAGTGAACCGGAGAGGTGGCCGGTTCGCGGTTCGACCGGTCCGACCGGTCCAACCGGCCTGTTCAAAGGTTCACTGGTTTTTTTTTTTTTTTTTTTAGTGTTAAGTACTAAGCAGGTTTCATTCTACACTTGAACTTTACCAACATAACTTAATTTAAGTTATGATAATAATAAATTTTCTAAAAGTTATACACAAAACATGGAATGATAAATATAATTAAAATATCATAATTCACCACAAGTTTTCATAAATTCATTATAAACAAAAATAGATACAATCCAAATGCACCAATTATCACAAATAAAAACACAAAAAATAAATAAATTAAATATTGAAATTCTTTTACAACCCTTAAAAAAATCCATAAAAGAGTTCAAGTTAAGACAAACTATTTGAATAGCAAACTTTTATCAGTGGCATGATAAGCAACCACACCACCTTCACAATTTCATCAACTTAAGCTGAAAAAGTTAAAATTTTATTATAAAAATATAAATCTAATTGCTCAAACTAAAAAAAACTAAAAATTTTTGAAAAACAAATATACAGTTAAACACATAAAAAATTAATTGCTACTAAACATTACTAATTAACATGTTATATTAAATTCAATGATCCTATACCATTAATTATTTTAAATTCAATTATCAATAGCTTCGATTATGTGCCAACTACCATATTTTTGACCAACCCAATGTTATTATTTGTAATTCCTACCCAATTCCTACACGGATGTGCACTACTTTTGCAAAAATTTCATCCTTAATTAATCGAATAAAAATAAAACAAAAATGAGGGAAACATATGAAAATTGAGGGAAAAAGAAGAAAATGCAAAAAATCAACTAAAGATAATAATATAGAAAAAAACCTTAAAAAGAAAAAAATTAAACTTACTAAAATGTTGGAAAACAAGAAAAGTTGAAATTTTCAACTTGTTTACAATCTGCTAAAGATAATAACCAGATAATAATGGTGAAGACTTGAGAAAATCTTGTTGTGGATATTTGGGTTAAAAATGGTTAAGAAGAAAAAATTGAAAAAAAAAAAATAAGAGAAGAACTTGATGTTTTAATATATTTTTTAGTCAAGTAGAATTCTCAACAAACTTAAGTATAATCTAGCGGTAAGATTGTCATATTTAAACTTGGAGACCCAGGTTCGAATCTTAGCTATACCATTCTTGATATTTTGTTGAAGAATTTAAAAAACCGCCGGTTCACGGTTCTTAACGGTTCGCACGGTTCGTCCGGGTTTCAACGGTTCTCCATGAACTTCCGGCTTCAGCATTAGACCGGACCGGTGACATGGCCGGTTCGCGGTCCAACCGGTCGAACCGGCCGGTCCGGTCCGGTTCTGAAAACATTGATTAAAGGCCATTTGGACCTACCTTGGAGTTCTTTTCTGACCAATCCTATCTAACTCTTTTCTTTCCGGAAACACACACCTCCCCTCCCAACTCCTCACTCTCGGTTATCTCTCCACAATGCGCACGCTCGCACACAACACAATATTCCAACCACAAATCACTCCAGCTCTCCGCCCGTCCCTCACGGTCACTGTAGACAGAACCTGAAGATTTCTTTTGAGGGGGCCAATTTTAATTTAATTAAGTCTTGAGTATGTAACTTAAAATATTTTTAATTTTTTAGATGGATAAAAGTTAAATTCACAAAATTTTTTTATAAAAACTTATAATTTTTCAAAGAAGAAAAACTTGATTTATCAAAATTTAGGGGTGCAGCCCCTTCCTGCCACCCCTAGTTTTGTCAGTCACGCAATTCACATTTCACACACTGTCACTTCACACATAAGTTTTCCTCCTCTCTATCCCTCTGCAGAAACACACTAGCACAACACTAGCACAACACTTTCACAATACACACACAACTCAATCCATTTTCATTTCTCCATCTTTCCTCTCCCTCACTCTCTCAGCTCTCCCTCCCAACCAACACTTACACATATCAGCACTCACACACTACCACACACTTCACTATCTCACACACAACTCCTCTCCTCCACTCTCTCTCTCTCTCTCTCTCTCTCTGCAACTCACACACACAACACACACCAACACATTCACACTGACACATACTACACACACACGTGGAAACCAAAAACAAACACCACCACTCACCAAGGTAGAACTAGAGAAACCCAGAGCTGAAGATGGAGCCCTCTACCATTGCCATTTGAAGCTACTACTATTAAGGTCCTCCCTTTTCCATTTCTATGCTTTTACTCGTGAAAATTTTTTATTTCCATCTTAAACTGTGATTTTTGTGACCTTTTTCTGATGACTTGTTGGCTGCTTTGTCTTATATCTTGCATGAGGGTTATTTGGGTGCAAGTTTTGTGAGCTTTGAGTAGGTTTTGATAGAAAAATAGGGAGGAGACCTGGTTGACTTTGACCCGTATGGTCACCTTCCGTTCATTATTTTTTGATAAAACAATAAGTCAAGAAATGGAATCTACGTGAAAAATCAATTGCCCGATGTAGAGGCAATTAAGAAAGCCGCATACATAAATATGTAACCTAAAGAAAAATGTGTAATTTGGGTGAAATCTGATTACTGGAGGAGGTAACGGCTTGCAGTCAACCAACGGTGGCTTGCGGCCGTGAAACCACCATGGCTGCTGATGCTTGAGTTTTAGCAGAAGTCAGGTAGAAGAAGAGAGAAAAAGAAAAGAAAAATTGGATAACTATGTCTTAATAAAACTACGTAGTATTGTCTCAAAACTACGCCATTCTACTAAAAGGCTGAAAAATGGGTTATAAAATCAGAAAATAAATTTGCAATTCGACCCCTCAATTTCTTGAAACTTCACTACAGCCTAGGAATTTTGATTCTTTTGCACTTAGACATCCATTTTAACTGCATTGCTGTCTCACCTTGACCTTTTAATAATATTATTCTGACCCCAAAGACTTTCATATTGGTGCAATTAGGTCCCTATCACAATGCTAATTTTTCAATTAGAGTAGTTTGTTTGTTTCAATTACCACTTTTATTCTTTGATTGTGCATCCTTATCCATTTTTGTGTGGTTTGGTATGATTTTCACATCTATGTGACTTCAGTTAGTTTTTGAGTAATTTATTGTTATAATAATGGTACCATTATCCCTTTCATTCATGTTGTGAATCCCATAAAGGTAAATTTTAACCAGCACTTCAAAGGGAGGTGCTCCTTACATTTGAATCCAATTATGTTCTACTGTGTCTATGTGCTCCATGTTGTTTTAGTTTCTTAGTTTTGTTATTAAATTACTTTCTTAGTCTTAATTAATTTGAAATTTAAAATGCTTGTTTATTTTATTTTAATTAGCCAAGTGTATTCATTTAATTAGATGTACTAGTTAGGTTCATTTTTTCAACTTTTTCCCTGGCCCCAATTGGAATAGATAAGTTTTCTTTATGTTTTACGCTTCAATTCGATTATAGTTAGGTTATAATATAATAGATAGGGCTTGTATGATGCGAATGAGCAAGCTGGCCGTGGTGTTCACATAGGCCCGTGACACGTGCACAAGTTAAGAGGTTCAAAGAGTCACTTCAAGCCTTAGTTCATGCCGTATAAACTCAAGAGAAACCAAGCTCAAGCATTGAAGGAATTGACTTGGAGTGATGTGAGACGGATCTAGACGAACACCAAGTTGGGATGATTGGCGGAACTTTGACCCTTCTAGAATCACGAGCCACGAACTAAGGA